GTGGTTATAATTGCTGTAATATATATATATATATATATTAGATGTATATATTTAGATTACATATTATATATATATATATATATTATATGTTTAGACATTGAAAAAAAAAAGTAATTTGCCTTCTAAGTACGTAACTTATTTAACTAAAAAAAAAAGAAAAAAGAAAAAAAAGAAAAAGAACAATAAGAATAAGAAAAAAAAAAGAAACAAACAATAAGTAAATCACGCTTGAATTTCATTAATCGATCCGAATCATTGTGTATAAGCACAGCCCTTTACATATTCGATCTAATAAGGAATAGAACGTTTCTTTTAAAGACATTTGTTTTGACTTTAGTCCCTTTTCTTGTCTACCTTTCTTTTTTAGTTTTGTTTTAATTTTTATCTTGACCCCCCCTCCCCCATAACGTGCAAGTAGCACACTTTACACGATTTCTTCATTCACCAAACTTAACAACAATACTAGTAGATAGAATTTCTTTTCTGTTCCTTTTTTTTTTTAGCGAAATATGTTAATGTTCTTATATATGTACACGCACATCGTAGAGACAAACGGACAGACATACAACAAACCAGACGTATCTATCACCGCGAATAAAAATTTCGCGAGAAGCTTACGTCGTCGTGGAATCCGTCATCGAGTTTTCGTCATTTAATAAGAAGACGATTAATTAGTTTGTGTTAGCACGAATTTCCTTCCATATTATCCAACAGAGAATTCTTCTCATCCTTTTTCGCATTATTATTCTTTGCCATCGGTGTTCGTAATTTTGGTTCGAAACATGGCTGGAAAAAAAGGAAAACCTTTTTTATTTTCATTTGTAATACTTAAAAGTGCGTGAACGATCAATCAATCAGTGCCTTCTTTTCTTGCGCTTTAATTTATTATTAATGAATTAAAATTATAAATGAATGAAATAACATTCTCTTTAATCCATGCTTTTCATTTTTTTCCAAATACCGCAAATAAATAAGAGATTCGAATGAATTATTATTATTATTATTATTATTATTATTATTATTATTATTATTTTTAATATAATACTTTTTAACATTGATTCTCTTCGTGGAATGAAATATAAAAAATACTGATCGTTAAATTGGATTAGTTAATTAATTACTCGATCGAAATTTTATTATAACGCGATCGTTGTTATTGTTATTATTATAATTATAGAGTTCGTATTTTATCGTGTTAAAAAATTAATTAAG